CATGTGCCACAAATATGTACAACTAACAGTGTGGGTGAACCTTTCCTTTAAAAACGCAGTAAACAGTGCCACAGTTAATCCTGGCCAGGTTGCTATGACAACATGTCCTACAGGCAATGTGATGGTTAGTGACCCATTTCTCTAATGTATGTTTACCGAGCAGGGGGCACGGCCCACTTGTTAAAGCATATACAGTGATATACAAATTAGACAAATGCTCTAGGTCATGTAGTGTGACCAGGTGAATAGTCCTGAGTGATGTCATACAATAAATATTTCTGTGGTGAAAAGGACCAGTGGTTTTAATTCAACCAAACATTATATAGATTTCCACACAAATCAGATTTCTTCAGTCTCCCGTCTAACTTTATTAGTGATACATGATTGATAATCTCTGTGATCCATGGTGTACCTCATGGTTGGTCTTGCTGTTCAGTTTCGCCTCACTAGCTGAAGAAAGTGCTGGTACTACACGGCCGTCTTGCGTTGTGCTGTCATTCTGCGAGACAGTCTGGCCCTTCCTCTTCTGCGCCTTTTTCGCCGCCCCCGCACCGTCGCTTTTCGCCCGCTTCTGTCGGAAGCTAGCAAGCTGCGCAGGAAGGACAGCGAGAGGTAGATGGACACATAAGTAAGGACCACTGAGCACCACCACACTATCAGCATGATGAAGCTCAGGGGTCAAGGGTGACGGAAAACTAGAGTCCAGACTGATCCTTAGTTGAAAAAAAAGTAATCAAAACGACATTCTGAAATCATTACGCAAAGTATAAATGCATGTGTACAAAGTGTTGATAGTTCCAGATGCAGAAAAGAAATTAAGATTGGCAGCCCTTATTTTGATGAGTCTGAGTTGTACAGCCAAAAAAAAAAAAAAAAAAACGAGACCGGAATCCCAAACTCACACCCAAAATAGATCACACCATAGCCTGACAAGGTATCCAAGTTCAAAATGAGGTGATGCTAAATATTCTCAAATCTCCAGAGAGCTGTATCCAACCCATGAGAAGTGCACATTTGAGTGACACACATTAGACAACCTTAGACACAGCACAAGGTTACAAAAAAATAAAACAAAAAATTAAAAAAAAGTACTCATCCTTCTCAGTCACTTTTCAGCATGCAAGAAAGTCAAAGACAGAGGCAGCCAAACTGGTTGACAGGAGTTTTTGAAGCATCAAAATAAATAAATAAGAATAAAACAAAAATCAAGAATCTGAACCTGAGAAGTTAATTTACATAAAAAAATCCCCAATCAAGCTACAATACTTAGCATGAATTCCAGAGAGACCGATTTGGTACAAATCCACCATTTCTCAATACCACACTCCTCTTTTTAGGCGATGTCTGTCTCTCTCTCTCTTCTTTAAGCAGCTTAAAACAGATGAGAGCTATTCACATTGTGACAGGGACCTTCATAAAGCCCTCCATCATGAGTGACAGTCAATCATCGACTTCCTTTCTTGGTGGTGGTCAGACCCGTCAGATTTTCCTTATCAGGGCAGTTGCTTTAGTGTCCAAATGTAGATCTTGCAGTCTGTAGGCAACAGCACACTCTGCAAACCCATTCATCCTAAAACTCCCTGCCACAGCCAACATACAGTGCAGAGAGATCCACAAACTCTGGATAGGAGATGGCATGTGTCTAGACTAGGGAAAGAGGGTGGAGACTGGTAGATGCATTCACATGGAGAGGAGGAGACAGAGCTCTGTGTGTGGCAAGCAGCATAGGAGTGTGTATGCTCAATTCAATTTTGAAATTACATTGCCCTGGGAGAGCTACTTGTTTGCCTTGTGTGATGAGTCACATATATGTGAATGGCACCATTATGTGCGCATGTGTGGCACTGTTTATTTTGATGACATGTTACGTGCCTGGTCATAAAACCAACCCCATTGTAAATTTGCTTTGTACTCCCATTTAGTGCCATGCAGTGCATCCACAACCATCTTCCTCTTTTGTCTAACCCCCCAAAAATAACCAGGTTAAAGCTTTGCTAAAAACAATAATTCCCTCAACACTTGAATCTATTCCCACCTCCCAATGTTCATCTGCTTTCATTCTCATTAATCACTTAAAACCCCACCCTTCGTTTTCTTCCATCATTCTGTTCACCGCCTCCGCCTGCCATAACACACATCTCAGATTGAAACATTAGCCAGATGAGCGGCGTTTTACCCAAGGCCACTTCTGCACTACTGAGACTATGACTAACATACTGTAGCTGGAGCCTATTGTGGCCATATCAGATGTTGCTGGACTGCTGAATGCTGCTAGTGTGTTCTCAACAATTTCTGCACCAATACACCTTGTGGGGTTTGATTTTTTTTGTGTGTTTGCTTGTGTGTAATTTGTATGTGTGTGTCATGCTTAAAGTGAGGCTAATAAATAAGCTTTTTCATGCGCCCAATACAGTAAAGGCAACTGACAGCGCTGTATTACCATAGCAACACCATTCATGTGAGATACAAGTGCAATATATTCAGCGTTCCCAAATCTCATGGGCTCACTGCACCGCCTAATGGCGTACAACCTGCATGACAACTTATGTGCTAGTTGCTTGGCTATATTAGACATGAAAATTATTAATGCACAACAGATTATCTATTCAGGTTTACAGTCTTGATAATCTGTCTCCAGTCATTCTTCTTTGTATCTGTGGGCTTCAATCTCAAAAGCTGACATCAATTAATAAAAAATGTAGTAGAGAAAAGGAGAAGAAACCCCTGATTGTCCACCCAAGAGAAACAAAACAAAAAGCAAGACCGAAATCACAAAAGGAATAATGTCTGCCAGTCACCAGTTTCTCTACTTACCGACTGACTTCGCGGCATGTTGGAGGATTTCTGTCACAAGGAATATCAGTGGTTCAGTTGAGTTATGAAGTATTATGCATCATACTAATGTACCAAGCTATCTTTTGAATGAGTTCTACCATGAGCTGGAGGAGAAATGCAACATTGAAGAAATGCAATTTATTTAGCTACTCTGAACACATGGCCTAGTTTAAATCTGTTTTTTGACAGTGTGGGCCGCTTATCAATACAGGGCAGGCCATTCTTGCTTATTGGCCCATTACTAATATGGCCTCCCATTTTAGTAAAAACAGCTGTTTGCTTTTTCCATTTTGGCGACACCACAGTAGCAATTTTCACAGACAGCTGAAAAAATGCCATAGGGGATACTCTTTCTAGCTGTAAAATAGTTTCTCTGGGTTGGTGAAAGTTATTATGGCTGTTGAAAAATGGGATTGATTATTGGGATGCAAAAAGCAAATGTTCCTGAAATGCAGCACTAAAAATGAATTACATAAAAGTTAATGTGCCAAAAATGCTTTTAAAAACTCGGACGACAACATTGGATTGGATGCACCTGCGCGCGCAAATGTAACACCTTGAAATATGTAAGGAAAACTCTTAGGAAAGGAAACTTTTTTTTTTTTTTTTAAACAGATTAGAGGCATTTCCCTAGTCTTTGTAAAAAGGGTGCATCTGTCAGTCTCAGTTGAACTTCAAGTATCACCTTATACGAAATGATTCAATTCATTAACCAAACGTTAACGTTACTCCATACACGTTATAGTTATCTTTACGTTAGCTACGTGCAACCTTAGATTAATGATCAACCCGCGGCATATGCGCGCCAAAACAGTAAAGTTACGAGAGCCTGTAATTTAACGGGCAAACGACATCTAAGCAACGACAAACAAAACGTTGAAACAATAATGTTGGAGGACGGTCCAGTTAGCAGTGGACAAACGCAAAGCCATCACAAAAGAGTTGGCTAGCGGTAACTGCTAGCATTCAGCAGTTAGCGTGCGTTAAATGTTAGCAACAAACCTTAGCTCTCCCAGCTTCTAGTTTCCTTTGACGTTCATCTTCATCCATCTCTTGGTTTAAATAAAACCATTAAGTGTTTGGGACATACGTCCTAATTCAACTGAAAAGCACAACAGACTTCTAGCATGAGTTAGCTAAAACAAAATCTTTGAGCTTCCTTCAGCTACAACTGTCAACAGATAATATTCAATATGGCCGCCAAGTCAGTTCAACTCCGCCCTTATCGAGTTTCCTTGACTAAATGGACCAATCAAATCATTACGTTCCACTTCTTCAGCCAATTGCAACGCTTGAATGCATTCCCGCATGCCTAATAGAACCACCCCCCATTTTGTACATCACTCAAAACTAGAGTCTAGTTGACCAATGAAATGGCTGTGTCAAGTCTCCAATGCTCGATTGACTGCTCTTGTAGCCAATCAGGACAGGCTAATATGAAACCATGCCTCCACTCATCTGTTTTGAAAGTGAATGTACAGAATCGTCCACTGTCTGAGGAGTTTTTTGGCATTTGAACAACCTAATTTATGACGACGAATGTATAGTTACATTAAAGCATTACAAAATAAGATCAAAAGGTAAACACCATTCAGATGGCATTTATTGAAACCATGACAACAAGTGTAATATTTTGTATTATCTGTAGGTTATTACCTTTACTTAATATACATATTTTTCTAGTTATTTATACCTTTCTAAATAAATTAATCTAAATGTGGGCTATATATTATGAGCAGGGCTTATTTCCAAGATGAGTGAATGAATGACATTGGGTACTTTACCTTGGTCTGTAGTCATCTACAAATCAAAAGAAAGTGGGATCTGAAGTAGGAAGGTTATCTGATGTCCCTCTACTCTTTCTCTGCATAGAAACAAAGTAGTTATGCAAGTCATGTTTAGGTCTAGGTGTTAAACAGGTGTGTCCCATGGCAACCACTTTCTGGCTTTTGTCTTGACTCAAACACACAGGTATACACACAGTCTGTGTGACTCCAGATGCCAAGATTTCAGGTAAATAAGATATTAAAAGCATAAGTTTGCTTGTCTGTTTGTATGTTTGTGTCTAGTATTTCATCCAATTATGTGTATTAAGGCCCTTAGAAAATGTTAGAGTAACTCTCCTTTGTGTGATCTCTTAGCATGGCATTTCTGCAGTTGATTAGATGACAAGACTCAAACTCAAACTACTGGAGAAGGTAGGTGAGAGGCTAGTTTAAAATGTGTTCAGCTGGAAAAATACTGCTCAAGCTACAGTTTGTTTGGTTGTTTAGTATTCTCAAGTAAAATAGTTCAGCGTGCCTTTTATGCTTTTCTTGAAAATTTTACATCAAAATCTTTCAGAAATATTCTTTACTTACATTTCTAGAGACTGGAAAACGAAAAGCACAATATGGACACAAGAGCAGATTCTGCCCAGTCTGCAAGTAAGTTAAAGACTTCTTTCTATCCCAATTATAGATTATACTGACAATGACTTCCCAAGATGACAAATGAAGAATATACTAAAATAATATACTTTGAATACACTTAGTAGTAAAATTAACCTGGTAGTAAATGGATATGAAGCTGAGCACTAAGGAGAAGTCTTGGGAGCTGATGAAAAAGGTAGAAAGATTTTTATTTGCTTTTTACTTTAGGGTGGACAGAATAAGTAGAAGAGGCAGACACAGGGAAAGATAAAAAAATTATGGGAGTAGCTATTGAGAACATGATTTTGTCTGTTCAGGGAGTTATGATGGACAGCTGGATCAACTTCACCTTGCACTGAGGCGCAAGCGGGCCCTCCAGCAAATACTCCGGGTTTGTAGAGAATCTTTATCTTTGTATTCCAAGAATACACATTTTTATTTGTTAACCTATTAATATAGTTTCTTACATAACTAAATTCAGACAGTAAGATACAAAACTAGAGCAAGAGAAAGACAGAAGACATTCCTAGTACCTTTGAGCAGTTAACCAGTGTCTCAAGCATTTAGTCTTTCGCCTGTCATTGTGAGAAGTATATAATTGTTTGTGTTTTGTTTGCATTTATCTTCTGTGAAGGAGCAGCACATGTTAGAATACCTCAACAGACCCCACACCTGGGGAGGGTCACAAAGACAGTACAAGTCACATTTCTTCACTGCCCCTCAGCCGCCTCCACCACTCCCACTTCACCAGGCGGCCCCTGTTCTGCACTTCCTGACCCCTCCACCGCCTGCCCGACCCCAGCCTCCTCGCATCATCCAGCAGACTGTGAGACACTCAGCATTACTCTAAAAAACACCACCAATCCCCCTATATTCAATCTTCTTTTTCTGAGCCCCTTCTTCTCTTCTATTTTTGCCCTTCTATTTCCTTTCACATTAGGTATTATACTGACGCTGCTATTCAATCTGACTTGCAATGAGTTGAAGTATAGTGCAAATAAATTATGCAAAAGAAGCAGTCATTCCCCCATCTTTCTTTCTCTCTGCAGCTACCCGAGCAGCCTGCCACCATCATACAACAGCAGCCTCTGTTTACTCAAATCCCTCAGCCCTACCCTGCACCACGCTCAGGCAGCATCAAAGAGGGTATGCAACAGCAAATACAGATCTGTCTTATTTGAGTCTTCCTGTATTCATATGTTTGTGTGTGTATGTGTATTTTGCATGTTAGACATGGTGGAATTGATGCTGATGCAAAATGCCCAGATGCATCAGATCATAATGCACAATATGATGCTGAAAGCCATGCCTCCTATAGCCCTGTCACCACCTGGAGGTCCCAGTCACTGTGCCCCTTGTGCTAAATATCTTGGGCAGGTACACACAAACATGCACACTCTCTCGACACATAAAGACAAAGCAAAAAGTCTCAATTCTGACCCTTTGCAAAACTGTCCCAAATCTGTCGCTCCAGGACAGTTTCCAGGGAAACCCTATTTTTGTACGCCCAGATGTCAAACCAAGAGGAAGTGCTGTCCATCATCATCATCACTATGGTCCTACTTCTGTGGCACCACAGCTGCCCCCCATCAGCAACCCTACATGGCTACCAGGGGTGTCATCTGTCCCAGCAGGACAAGCAGCGAGACATCTACCATCCATACACCACGCAACAGCCCCTTTTACACTCCCACCACTCAATGGTAAGCCTCACTAACAGCACATGTACTTTATGTGCAAATATTCACACAGACAGCCTAATTGTTTTATTTTTATTTTTACTAACAAATACATTTGTGTGTGTGTGTGTGTGTGTGTGTGTGTGTGTGTGCATGTGTGTGTGTGTCCTTACAGGACACAGATTTCACTCCGAGTCTCCCCTGTTGACTTAATATCATTGAAATTTTCCAAAATGTAGGCTATCATGTACGTTATGATTATGAATGGTAGACAAACAAAACAAACAAGGTAACCTTACCTTACACTAAATTATTGTATGCTTATAGTAGTCGTCAACTCTGACCACTTGGGTCAACTTCAACGGCGCTGAATGGGATGAATGATAAAAAGAATCGACACCCTTACAGGAACTTGATCCACAGACCCTCAGATGAAATATTACAGTTCCTTCATAAGAGCAGTTGGCGATTTACACAATCTATTGATGGGCCATAGGGGGAGAAAGAAAATTAACGCCCGAACAGGGACTTGAACCCTGGACCCTCAGATTAAAAGTCTGATGCTCTACCGACTGAGCTATCCGGGCCCTGTGAAAAGGAAGTATTTGGACTCATTAAAAACATGATACAGCACAAAACATTTTCTCCTGACTACTGTAACTGCTTTGCCATCAGTCTCCACAACGATAGCTCTGTACGCAGCTAATGCAGGCTAACTATCCGAAGTAGTAAGCTAGCCGTATGCTAATTTACGGCTAGTAGCTGTTAAGCTAACTAAATCGCTATGATGACTGAACGCACATGTATAATCTGACGGCACTTTAAAATAGGGGTATGTTCAGTATTCGGCCTGTTCAGTCAAGTCACTAACGTTGCCCGTGTCATTTTGTCGTGTAAGTCGCTTTTTCACGCTACACACAAAATCATTGCCTCGTCTTTATTGGATGAATTTACAGCTGTACAAAATGGTATTTTACAGGATCTATTAAACAAACAACAGAACTTCCTCAAACAGTCGCTTTTACCGCAGTGAATCACTGTGAGCATCCTGGACCACATTATTAGTCTGTTACAAGTGTCAGTGCTTCTTTATCCCGATCCCAAATGCACAACAGAAAACACAACCTGGATTCACAACCGTCAATCATCATGGCACACCCCTTTGATAAATAAAATATACACATATAAACAACTGACACCCTCTGCATTAACAAACTATTAAAGTGCATACTTCTTTTAAAGAATTGCATGGCCTAATGACAGGGGAACAAGGTACAGTCATGCTGTATTAAGCAGGATGTGGAGGATGGCCATTGAACAATATTCTTACTGTGAAGATGAGTTACAACTCTTCAGGAGAATGTGTGGATGATAGTCATGCACTTGTGCTTAAGGGCTTTTTGTATGGCACAAAAGTCAATATTACATGCTTAAAAAAGCCTTGTTTGTTTGCTGTGCCAAGTCTGTTAAAAAAAAAAAAAAAAGAATGGTTAATAAAAACATGGGTTAAATCAGATTAAAATGTGCTTGCATACAGCATCTCGCGTTACACATTACAAAATGTTGGCCTTATAATTGTGTAAATTTGATTAATTTAATATTCTGAATGACTGCTTGAAACAACTTGATAACATTTATTTACACAGTGCATGTGTACGTGCACAATACCAGGCTAGGCTGTACAATTAATTTTTATACAAACGTTTTTCTGTGCAACGGAGGCAGACTCTGTGAAAAGTTTCAGAACATATTAGAAACTTCAAATGAACATTATAATGCAATAAGAAAAAAATCTATAAGGAGGGAAATATGTTATTAAAAATCTGAAAAAGTGAATTTGAATTTTTGAGGCCTTCAATGTTTTGCAAGGAGGCAGAATGCAAGCTGAAATACAGAGCACAGGGTAGGATACATACCCTCCTGCTATTGGTACAAGAATAGATACACAATGAAAGTCAGTGTGTTAACAGAATCTTTCTGAACACATTTCGTTGAATGCTGTTATTGTTGGAGAGACACCACACATTCTTCAAATTTCACTTCTGTTGCCATCGGATTTGTAAAAGAGGGAAACAATACAGATAGCAAAAATTGGATTATTGTGATCACATTTTGGGCAAATTGCTACAGCAGGCAAAGCGCCAAGGATAATGTGTTCCCAAGTTTTGTTAACATCGCAGCAAGGCATGCACCTTCATCATGTAATCTTTTGACACTATAAAAGAGCGTAGTATAATCTGATGGTATTAATGGCTAGTAGAAATAACTTGATCCTGTAGGTCCTCTTCTGATTCACAAATTCAGATGTATACCCTGACTGGTGTGTAGTAAGTAATATACTATCTTTGAAAGGTTGGTGGTGGCATCAATGTTAACTTGTCCAGATGATTTTACAAGTAAAGTGTTCATGGGACACCACTCCTGTCCATTTTCACCCGTGTCAGGTCAGATGGTCAATCCTGGACAAAAGTTTGGTCAAGGAAAAGGGTGTGGGTTTTTTTATATATGGAGAGTGGGACGCTGATGCTTCTTCACATGGCATGGTTATGTAACCTAAAGTGTGAGAAAGAGAACAAAAATGTCTGTTTACTTGCACCACACACAGGCAATTGCCATTGCCATTGCAATCATTCACAAACAACATTCACCCTGTGTATGTGAGGAGGCATTTCATCTTCTGAACTCTCCTCTGGTAGTGGTTCATGGTGTCGTGGTGCTGCCTGACCCTCCTCTGCCCACCCTCCCATGGGCAGACGGGCTGACCTCACTACTTTCCCACCTGCACCAAAAGAGTCTGGAAAACAGAAAGACATAGACAGTGTTGTTTAAAAGTGTCAGCAATTAACACTGATCTGTATAGCATGTACAGCTACTGTACTGTAAACTGTCCTCAGTTGAGTTAAACAAATAATGAAATACTCTGAAAGCCATATAGTTCTTATACTAAGCCAGTGTGACATAAACTAAGGGAGACTTGTGTAATTACTCAGTGAGAAACTTAACTACTCATTGTTACACAAGGGCTGAGAACATTTTACTGTTTTGTACATATTGCAACATGGCAAGAGAATATTTCCTGTCTTAAACTGATATCATATCTTTCTAAAACTAATTGACTAACAAATCCAAATTTTTTGTTATAAAAATAATGGTGCAGCAAGGAGAGCAAGGACATTTACAGTTTTAATTATCTTAAAAAGAGTAAGACTATGAAAAAGAATAGCAGGTGAAAATCAATTTCATACTGTTCCAAAGTCCGACTGATCATTTAATAAGACTCCATTCAAATGCATGTAGTGTGAAACATGGGGAGATTATCAAAACATAGTACCTGTGGTAGGTCCACTATAGCGGTGCTGGGTGCTGCTCTGCGAGGGAGCCCCCTGTTGGCCCAGGGTGGTACTACAGGTGGCTGAAGCTGAAGTGGGAATAGCACTGGGACTGGGGACTGTTGTGGGGAAAGTGTGTGAGCGTGGGAAATGTCTGGAGTGAGGGTTGGGTTCACTTCTCACTTCATCAGGGACGCTGTCACTGCTTTCGTCACTCTCCTGCCTGTGCCATGTGTGACGGGATAGCTCGCCGCGGGACTGTTGCTTGTGTAGCTACAAGGACAAAAATAAGATGGAAAAAATGGATGGCACCCGCGATGAAGAAAATCTGGGGGATATTCACATAGACTGTACATAAGAAATTGACGTAGTCATCGTGACGTTACCCGTTGGTTTGTGGACTGCCGTTTTGAAGCCTCGAGTTTGGCAGATATGCGCCGCCATGTCGAGTTTTTGCAACCAGGAAGTGCCCGGAAGTGACTATACAGCGGAGCTAACGGCCGTGTGCGGCGCTAGCTAGCTTGCTTAGATAGGTGCAACTGTAACTCATGTTAACTGTCATTTTAACTGGGCTGATAACTTTGTCTAGCGGACAACAGTCTTAAAACTAAATGTACTCACCAGAAAAAGTGAACAGCCAACTCCTAATAAGCTTTCTCAATGGCGCTGGTTAAATTTACACAGTGCCGTGGGTACGAGTCTGCTCTAGCCTGATTGACAGGTCGCTATGGTAACGACTAGTCAATCATAGATAATCCCGCCCTGAAAAATACTCTGCTTTTTGGTCTATTGTAAAATAAATGGGACCATAATTTACTAAATGAACATCATTTTGTATTGAAGAAGACTTGAAACTAGCGACTGAGACCATAAACTCATCAGGAAAGTGTTTACTGGGGTAATTATTCAGCTGAGAAGTAGGGTCATTTTCTCATTATTTCTAATGGAGCCGGACTTCTTTTTGCAACCAGAAGAGTCGCCCCCTGCTGGATTTTCAATAGAATGCAGGTTTCAGGGACTTCCGCATTCGCTTCATATTGTAGCCCGGAAGCTTCCCGCTTGGATATTCAGGATGAGGAGACAAACGTGGGAACACACTGTGCTTCATTCACTTTTTAACTCCTACAGATGTCCTCTACTCTCTTCCCACACACGATCACACACAATTACCTCATGCATGTAAAGTGCATGGATGCTCATCTCAGTGGAGGCATACTCTGACAGGACCAAACTGGTCAGTTGACCCTCCCATGCACTGCTGCCTGAGCTCACAGTTCGGGCATCAGTCCTACAAAAAAAGAAAGCAAAAACATGGAGAAAATGAGGACATGAAGAGGAGGTGACACAGATAAGAAGATGAGAGGCTAGATTTTGCACATTGAACTGTGAGTTTTCAGCCAGCAGCTCAGTAAAAGTTAGTGTTAGACAGAACTGAGTCGAGACACATTTCGGAAGAAGAATTCTCCTACCCAGACCCTGCCATTGCTTTGCTCATGGCTGAAGTGTGGCCAGCTGCTCTGTGAGCTGCACTCAAACTGCCTCTCAAGTGAAGACTGCTGCTGACTGGGGAAAGGGAGCGTAAGGCAGATGCCCCATCACTTATGCCAGCTGCTGCATGATTGGTCAAAGAGCCATCCCTGCCGAAATGAACGGAGGCCAGCGTAGAGGGACCTCCCAAGAAGTTTGCAACGAGGCTCCTTGGCTACAAGAGAGAAAGGGCAGAGAGACAAGACAGTACATTTGTTTCTACCTCTGAAGATGTAATGAAATTTGATGTATTACCACTTTGATACCTGAGCACGTATGTTAGTTCATCAGTGTACCTCAGACTCAGACAGTGAGAGGGGATGTGTATCTGAAGGAGCCCCTGCGGCCTCTCTGTGAACTCGTTCTTTCAGCTGGCTGATGAAGTGTGTGGTCTCCTGAGGCGGCTGCCACTGGGGGTTAGTGATGGCAAAGTGCATCAGAGATAACTCTGTCTTCCCATCCTCTGCCTGTTGGTAGATAGACGCCTCTGTCTTCCCCTCTGACATCCACTACAGAGGGAGGAGAGAGGTTCAGGCCACAGATATACACACAGACTCTCATTCATTCATATTTCACTTTTGAATGAATAAATCTTACGCATGTCACACAGTATATAGACAAGTGTCGTCATTTATGTATGTCTGTGTGGCTGCACTTATGTGTGTCAGTCACTCACCGCAGGGTGTCCATGCTGCCTGATGTCCATCTGGGCAAAGGAGCAAGTGTCTCCTACACCGACCACCTCCACAGTGAAGTTCCTGAAGAAATCAATGATCTCCAGAGACTTCCTCCTCAGACAGAAGATCAGGATAATGGGAGTCACCACTGGACTTATCAACTCCTCTAGAATAAAGACCTGGAAGAAAAACATAGGGGAAAAGTTAACACTGTATACTCGTGTGGCAAGGTAGGGTTCAGCAAGCACATCAAAGGTATACTGATACTCTGATTCATAAGTTGAAATGTGTTATTTAAAATAGCACGTTCATTTTAATTGTAATCTTGAGGAACACTTTATGATTTAAGATCCAAATGCTACCAGCTGCGACAATCTGGGAGTGGAGAGCAAATCCCTTCCTTAACAAATACCAATAAGGTGCTTCTCAGCATGGCACTGAGACCCCTACTGCTTCAGTGGATCTGCTTAGATAGCTAACAGCAGAAAACTATAGTTATAGTAGTCTGTCTGAGATATAAATACAAGTAACGGAATGAGGGTAATGCTAATTCTCTAGAAAAATAACAGTTTAATAGAAGCAGATGTTCAGAGAGGGTTTGACAAAACAACTACAGGTCTTTTACACAGTAGACATTTTGAGTAGTCACAATAGAACCAGCACAGGTGTAAGTTTTAACATAAATGCCTTTATAACTGTGCTGGAAAGCCATGTCCATGAGTCAGCTTGCACACTTGCAGGGCCCTAAAATTGGCATATATATATTGAATACAGCCATCATTAATGTTAATTAATTAAACCCATTAATTAATTAAATTCATGCTGTGCCATGTTAAAATGTCTACTATGGAAAATGCCCATATAACACTGTTTTGACAAGTCCTCAGTCTTGATATTTATCCCTGTCAGTATCCATACTCACGGCTTTGTATTGGAAGAGCTGGGAGAACTGGTCACGGGTCTCATATCTATGTGCATTACCCTGCCAGTGGTCAGGCATGTAGTGGATGTGAGCCAGGATAACCCGCAATAGCTGCTCAGGACAAAACACCATGTGCTTATCAGGTATAAATGATCTGAAAAGAGAGACAGGAAAAGAAGTTAGGCTTACAACATAAGAGGGTGAAAATCAAAGGCAAAGATTTAACTACTTTGTGGAAATTTGCTTGTTAACTATATGTCTGGAGTTTACAAGACTGAAGCATTCTTATTCAGCTGTAAGGCTTTCTCAAAACAAATCACAAATTTGATGCAAAATTTACCGGTGAAATTTCTGATGGATTGTTGTGTGTCTTGGATGGTTCTACGAGATAGAAGTTCAGTTCATGGGACTGTTCCTAAATATTGAATTATTTCAATTCAGAGCTATTAACAGACTTCAAATAGTCTGAGCTACTTAAGGAAGGAAACCCTCTTAAACTCATCAGTTATACAGCAGAATAAGCTGCCGTAGAGCATTAAAGGGATTACAACTCTGGGTAGCTTTAGACAGGCAATAAAGAAATGGGTCCCCTACGTTCCACATAGTTGAAGATTTGTGTCATATATTCACATTTTATTTTTGTATCTGATGTTTGCCATTTCATATCAGTTTTATAGAGACAAAGCTATTAATTTATGGCTGATTAATAATGAGCTAGTGATTTATTTGAGCTATTTAGCTGTTAATACATTTGTGATGATTAAGTGCTGCAGGCTGTGTAAATAAAAACCATGTAAATGAGAATAGCAGAGAGATTAACTGGGTAACACTAATCCCCACCTGCAGACTGTGATACACACTCCAAGCAGAGTGATTGATGAGAGAACATGTTCCACTGCGAGAACATCCTCGTCATAGATAGTCAGGGCGATGAGCACGGCCAGGAGAGACCCGGCAAAAAACGCTACATTTTTGGCAACCACCGTCAGCAGTGGTGACAGGAAACAGTTCATATACTTGGATGCAGCCTGAATGAAAGAGGAACAGGGGTAGAGGAATGGAAAAAAGCAGGAAGCAGACTTATTATTAACTCTACAGGCTAAGCATTAAGAGCATGATGTTTATACAAAACCATGTGAATCTTAAGTGATGTTCTGCACTGCCATATACAAACAACTTCTTTCAATTCATTGAAAGAAAAATATGTCAGTGTTATGAAATTTAGCAGGGTTATAAAACTAGGGTTCAGAGGAGAAGCAACTTTATTTATATTGAGGAACATTATATCATAATAATAATTGTTATCGCTTTATCACCCAGCCCTACTTATGAGCAGTGTTGGCAGGAGATACGCTGACCTTGTAGCCTTTGCTGAGGCGTGACATGAGCTCATGATCCAACTCATTGAAGTGACGCAGGTAACATCGACCATACAGAGACCAGCATCTTGCTCCCAGAGAGCCCGGCTCTCGCTTGATCACCTGCACACACACACACACACACACACACACACACACACACCCCCCAAATGATCTATGTTTAGAGCACTAAATGAAAAAAGAAAACTGTATAAAGTTTGTATGTACATACAAACTACTTACCTCTGTGTAACTAAAGAAGGCGTAGAGAATCTGCCACACAAGAATAACTGGACACAGCAGCAAATTGGCAATCCCAATCCATAGAATACGGGATGCTAGCCTGTCTGCCAGCTCAGCCCTGTTCCCTCCTCTCTTGTATTCTGGTTTCAGGCTCCACTCATTTTCAAACAGAGACCCTACAGAGCAACCAAGACAAAACCAAGGGACATACAAAAGAAGACTCCTTTGTCATTCTAAACCTTGACAAATAGGCAAATGTATGAATGCATGCATGCATATAGTTAATTTCACCTGAATATTACACCATGGAAATGCAGACACATAGAGTACTGTACATACTGTACATGAATTACATCAAACATGAACACACCTGGTCCCCAAAAGAAGATGAGCTCAAAGTTGTATTTCAGACCCCGGGTGTAGAACACGCTTTCCCCAAGCGTAGGAAGTCGAAATCGCACAGGAAGGAGAGATTTATTCACCATGGCAACCTAGCGAGGTACAGGAAGAAAGCTCTGGTTAGAGGTCACACCGTTTCATTATGTTTGCAAATAGCTGTGTCAGACTCTTCAGCAACCAAGCTGCAAAATTTCACTGCAAATGTACACACCATGTAGTTTTTAAAGCGGAGGATGCGGTGGTAAATGTCAAGCTCGGTCAGCTCTTTTTTATGGATGCAGATCTGGTGTTCTTTCTGGATCTCCACTATCCTGGCCTGAACCTCCTGCCATGTTGCATAGGGGAGTTCGGACTGAAAAGAAAAAGCATAGTGGAAATTAGTAGGCCCTGCGACCCTGTATGCAGGATAAGCAGTTGACGATGGATGGATGGATGGATGGAAATTAGTAGGTACAATGATTGCATGTGATTATAATTTATGCGCAAGCAAAACAAATCTTCAGTAACACTCTAAAAATAATTTCCTCTATAGACATAATTTTGTGTGACTGACTCACCATGGTCATCTTGAGTGCGTTGATGTAGAAGGATCGGATCTCCCAGTAGCAGCAGACATTATAGATGAATTTTACCAGGCGATGTAGCCAAAACACCCCAGAGATGATCAGCACAAAGATCACAAACGCATTGTCTCGGATACTGTGGGAGAAAATATTTTCTTCTATAATTAAAAGTACGTTGTATGTTTTCAACGGCATTAAGGTCTTCACATATGTCCAATTGGTTTGGCAGATTAAATATTTCTGTATAAAAAAAATAAACACACCGGCGCTAACCTGGGTAAATAATTTAATTCATGCCACTTTTCAGCTTTATCAATGACAACAAGAAAGTTATTTCACTCTTTTGAGTTCTGTCATTCAAAAGGTATCACTGGCAGATTAACAGGTAAGGAATAAATAGTAAAATAACCATTCCAAGTCCCATGTGATAATGTACATATAAATGTAGAAAGTCTGCTAAAATGTTTCAAGTAACCCAAGGAAACTTTACACATTCAGATAAGAAAAATGTTATATTGAAAAAAACTAGTGAGTAACAATAATGCGCATAACAAAGTGTTTCTGTATCTCACAAACACCCTTCTATACAATAATAACATCTATCCTCAGCTACACACTTCATTAACTAAATGAACTAAATACAGTGTCACACTCACCGGGCACTGCAGACATCCACTGGGAGGAAGGCATCAGGCAAGGTGACTTTAGAGGAATCGGTGTGATTTACAAACTTGTTGGCAAACAGTATGTCATAGTCCACACAGTTAGCTAGGAACACTGTGAAGCCAACCACAAACAGCAACTGACTGCATAGAGAAAGAAAGGAGGAGGAGGCAAGAAAGGAAAAGACAGTAAGAAAACACACTTACAGGGTACATCAAGCTCCATGCCATAAAGATTTCCTTAAAAACATCAGTTCAGGTGGATGGGATACATACACTAGCTCAAAGATCTCTCCCAGAAGCATACAGGTGAATCCATTCTTCTGGTGCAGATTATAGACGTAATGGATGTTAAGGAACAGTGCAAATGTGTCTGCGTTTATCAGTCGTAATTGTGTTAAAACTTTCATGGTATCATGGTACAGAATATTTTTATAAAAATACTATGTCAAAAACCCGGTCAGCAGCATCGTGTTTCTGCTTTGCAAGACCCAATCAGAGAGCCGAGCGTGAGTGGCTACGTCATCGTTTCTAAAGTCCTTCGTTTTGGCCGGTCTTCACTAAAACGCCCTCCGGAGTTTTGAAACGCAAAATGGGGTTGGCAGCGTTTCCAAACTTCTCCGTTTTAGGTCTTTGTTTTCGCCGTTGTAGTCTGGACGGGAGGTGCAAACGTAGCAAAAGGTCTCCGTTTTAATTAAAAAACACAGTAATGTGAATGGGGCCTCAGTTGTCAGGAACAATCAGAACACAACACGTTGGGAAAACATGTCACAACCAAGTAAAAGGATATTCTCTGGAAAAACAGGTCCAGGTTCTCTATGTGGTGCCATTGTGCTGCAAAACATTTATTAAACATTAGTAATGGTGTTGTTGCATGGTGGCATCGCTATCAGAGCAAAAGACGAGGATGTGTTTCTGTGTGTGATAAGTTCTTGATTTGTGTATACATGTCGTTTACATTTGGCTCCTTCAGGCACATGCATCAGCAGGTTCTCCTCTCCAGGGGGAGAGTCACTGTAGGACGCCTCCAGGCGCTGGTACTCTGTGTCAAAGTGTGCCATAGTGACAGCAGCTTCAGTCTCACCAAGTAGCCGAGCCCACTGCTACAGACTGGAGCACCGAGAACAACAGGGAGAGATGAGGGGAAGGCAAGAGGGTTAAAGATATACAAACAAGTCATAAAAATGAGGAGGAGGAGAAGGGAAAAACAGAATGATATAAGTTTTAAGGTTTTTAAATCATATGTTGGTTAATAATCAACTCATTTTGACACTTCTACACCCTGCATTATGGAAAACACCTACAACCTTCATTGAGGTCTTACCATCAACACGAACCTTGGTTTTGGAGGGCTAAACACCAATATAAATAAAAGTGTAACTCATTACTGATATATTCATTATTCAATATTTATAACTGTAGTAAAATTCTATTTTGCCTGATCCTTCTAAAGGGGGAGGTCAGAGGTCAGGAATCTTGCTGACAAAGGGGTTCAAAACTATATTCTCTGGTTAAAGGGCAGTCTCTCTTTCAACAATGCAACCCTGGACTACTGAACTACCTACACACATTTTGAGAGAGAGTAACGTTAGACATGTGAGAATGTGCCCCAAAAGCATGGTAAATTTGAGTTTGTGACTGACTCTGTTCACAGAATGTCACACTTTCGCTTATACAACGGAAACAAGTAATTGGTGTGTAAATCAAACTTGTGGTATAGCCCCTTTATGCTGCATCTGCCCTTGTCAGTTAGACTGAAACTAACTACTTAGAAACTAAAACCAACCATATAAGTAACTGACAATAGTTTCTGTCTCAAGATCTAGTTACGACAAAAAATCTACAAGACCCTAGGTAGATAATAATAATAACAGCAGGAATAAGGTATACAAAACAATGACAATGACAAAAAACTACAATGAAAATTACTTAAGAATAGTCAAAATATTTCTCAAGAAGGCATTTTTATCTTATCTTACTCAACTGTAATAACAAATTATGTGGAGTAATGACTGTCCCTACACCTCAGTCGTTGCATCTCAAAACCAGGGACCCTCCTATGACATGTAATGTAACTTATGCTATAGGTGGAAAGAGGTACTTCAGATCCTTGAAAACTGAATTTTAAAATTAAACGAATTATCAATTGACTACGAACACGTCTTAACCACACATACTGTCTCAAAACAAACCCATCGTGTGACTTATGTCAGCTACAGAAAGTTGCTTACCTCCATTGCAGTATAGTACGTCCTATCCAGCTCTGGTGTTTGCTCAACATTCCCAGCTGAAAAAAGGAAGAGACATTTCCTTTAAAGCTGCCCTGTGCAGTCTAAACTAGGACCACAACAGACTGTCAGACAGGGCTTCCTTCTATTTTTCTATTCGGAGACCACATACAGTAACAACACAGTTCTAAATCCACAGAAAATGAGGGCTGACTGTAGCTGAGTAGCTAGCTAGCTAGTTACTTGAAACTGGTAGTTAATTAGCAGCAACACATAAACGTACGAAGCTAACACAGGAGCACCGATTCAGGTGTTGTTGTTGTCGTGGTTTGACAGCATAGGCCTGCCTCCCTCACAAAAATGTCACCTCTAAAATCCCGCCACAAGGACTCCTTACAGTTGTGTTCTTCTGCCACCTCTTCGCCAGATTAAAACAGTGAATCCACGTTTTTTTTATTTTATTTAATGACCGTCTCGTTTTCGTTTTCTTGTGGATCCATCGACGCCAGTTTCATTTTCGAAACAGCAAGCAGTGTGGCGTCTGTCACAGCTGAGTGACGGGAAGGTTATCAAATCAGGGAAAGAATTCCCTAACGGTGACAACAGCAGCCAATCAGATGCAGCCAGAGGCGGGTTCGAAGAACGCGTTGCGTGGTTAGCGACACGCCCTCATGGATGTATACGGACGTACATCAATGCACGCCCTCAGAGACGCCTCCATGATGGGCTCCTCACCATTTGCTCTGGTTTGTCTAATTAAATGGCTGTTTACTACCACCGCCTGGTCGTTTTCAGTAGCACTACAACACGGTCAGAGGTACTGTCATACTGCAAGTGTACTCATGATGCTGCTGCTACATGGAGATCAGAACTAACAATGATAACTCCTTTTACTAAACAGATTTATATATTATTTATATATTTCTGATATCAATTATTTGTTGTTTTATGTCTTAAAATATATTGGAAACTGCTTTTGATCAGTTGTACTACATGATCATACGATCCTAATATACACTGCGCCCACATGTATTATGTTGCTCAAAGCTTGTGCAGGGATGTGGTAACAACATCAATGAATATGTGCAGACACACATGTACAGTGAAATAAATCAAAATAATGCTCTATTTTATTTTTAAAAATATTTCCTCAAGAAGTTTCCTGGAGAGAACAATGTAATTTGGTACTAATTGTAAGGAAAAGAGAGACAGTGTTAGGCTAAATTGCTAAACTTTCTGCTACACTAATTTCTAGTTTAAGAGAATGTTTTAGTTGGTGCACATAGATCAGCTGAACATTCAAATGTGCCTACAGGCAAACATGCAATTCAACCTACAGGTTTCCAATAATAATGCTTATAAAGCTCTATAATTAGTGCTATATTGGATGGTTCTTTTAAGGAAACTTTCCAGGAAAATTACAGACCTGTTAAATAAAGTGTTACCAAAATAGGTTTATTTAACATTTAGTGTTTGTTTTTACAGTTAAATGGTGAGATTCTTACTTTAAACCTGAATCTGATTTGATATTTGTTTGGATGCAAACTGAGATTTTGATGTTAATTTAAACATATGTTTTATAAGGCTAATAATACAAAATAATACAATATCAATAATCAGATCCTTAAGCATTTTCCCTCCTGTACTTGAGTCATGTTTTGATGAGTCTGGTTCTGGACTCCACAATACCAAGATGGTGCTTTGCAAAGCCAAGCTCACCTTCTGTCGCACTGTGCTGCAATGAATATTCATATATGACTGTTAAGCCTCTGGAGTGACAGCTGGGCTTTTGTTCACTGTGTAACTGCATTAGTTACACTGTTAACACCAATCACTGTGTGTGTGTGTGTGTGTGTGTGTGTGTGTGTGTGTGTGTGTGTGTGTACCTTTATGTGTTGAACTTACCATTGACAATCTTATTAACCAATCTCCCCAGACAGAAGTGAATTAATAAGTAGGTTTCTGTTTTCATGCTCAGAAACTTGGAAAGTTGGAAACACACACAAAGAAACACACACACACACACACAAAGTCATTACTGTTAGCAATCTGACAGGTCTACAGTTTACTGTGCTTCGGTTACTTTTCAACCTCACTTTCTTACACCTCCACAATAAATTTACTGTCCTCTCCCCCCATTATGCAACCATTTCTGACAACGTGTCCGTTTGTTTGTTTGTTTGTGTGTGTGGACAGAGATTTTTCAAAAAGGGCAAGGGTGTCTTGAGTCAGAGGGAAGTCTGTGTAATCCTGTTATTATAGTGATTTGGGTAATTTAATCTCTTCTGTTTAGGATTAGGCTTCATTCAGATTAATCCAGTAGAAAAAACACTGTCACCACCAAACAGTAACTAAGATATAAAAGTAAAAAATTACACATAATTCTAATTTGCTCACTATAAACCAATGTTTTTGAGAAACATTGATGAATCCCCACCCAGAACGTGTTTGAACTGCTTCATTTGATTTTATTTTTATTGATTTATTAAGATTTGCAAAGGAATTTAAGGGCAACAGGCTAGATATTATGTTAGAAAAAACACCTTGCATTGACATAGAGTAAGATAAATGACAAAGAAGATAGTTAAAGTTTTTCAAAACTAAACTGAAGCTAAAGCTAGAGTTATTAGAACCCATCTCCTTTTTTCTGTACTGAATTATTTTTTTTAGGTTGAATGATTATTGTTTTGCTAAATTCTTTACCACACTCATTGTAAATAACTTCTCCTTGTGTTATTGTGCATTATGAAAATTCTGGACTATTATATGTGTATTGTATGTGAGTTAGCATGTCTGTTCCGCTGCAGGCTATAGCTGACTGATTAAATTAACCTACTGTCTGTTGGGAATTAGGGGGTTGCATTGACAGCTAATTTGGTCCAAAGACTTGCTGTCATGCTGCCATGCAACTCGTGGGTGGGGTTGGGATAGCAGGGGCTGCAGGGTGGGGGGTGGCAGGTGGGGTGCTGTGAAGGGGGTAGGGAAAAGGGAATCAGGATGAAGTCATCTCTCTAGAGCAACTTAATTAGATCAAGATATGAGAGGCCGATTAGGGTGAAAACATTAAAAAACAGACACACGCACACTGAAAACTGTCACACACGCACTGACAATGTGCACATATACACTGAAATACAGGGGTATCTGAGTGTGTGTGTAAAATTATTTTAGTGCGCCCGGAAGCTGTTGTAGTGTAACAGGACGCCTTAGATTCCTGTCCTAACTTTCAAAATAAAAGCATAGCTAACATGATGATACATGGATTTCAGTGCAAGTGGTATTCCTTGTTCAGAGAGATTGTTTATCTAAGCAATTATATGAACAGTTAATCATTTATTATATTATATATTTAGTTCAGCATCCATAAACCTACAGGGAGGGATATTTATTGTATGTCACATTTAATTTTTGCTCCTCACCTTCAGATATTTTATAAACTTCATCTCTGTCTTCTTATTCACATGAAACCTACAACACTTCACTTTATGATCTACAATATGCAATGATTTGCTGAGCTTATTATACACATTCTACATGTATTTTGACCATGGATATATAGCTAGCTGCATCAGTGACTTCCTGTTAAAATGAAACAGGCACTGAAATGACTTCACAGGCACACACTTAGATACACACACAGACAAGTAGCCTGTATCCTACTCTGTGTGAAGTTTGTGTGGTGTGAATATTTTCAGTGTGTATGTGTACTTTGTCAATGTGGATGTACACATATTTCACTGTGTGTGCATGCACAGTCGGTGGTGTGTGCCCTTTTTAATGTGTGTGCGCACATTTTCAATGTGTCTGTGCCTGGTTTCAGTGCGTGTGCTTGGTGTGTTGTTGGTGCATGTATGATCATTTTCAGTGTGTATGTGCACATTGTCAATGTGAATGTGCCAGTGTTTCCGTGTTTTCAGTGTGTGTGCGCACATTGTCAGTGCGTGTGTGACAGTTTTCAGTGCGTGTGTGTCTGTTTTTCACCCTAATCGGCCTCTCATATAAGCTCCTTCCTGTACATGCACCCATGCAAACCCAACACAGCAGGAATGAAATCTACACACACACACACACACACACACACACACACACACACACACACACACACACACACAGTCACATGCACATACAATTTATACAGGGTGCACCTTTAAAATTTTAATTGTTGCTTGTCTTCCTCTCCCTGCTAGTACCCCTGGGGCCGATTTCCTTCAGGGCTCGGCAAATATACCAAGGTTGCTAAAAAAACAACAAATTTCTAAAACTCCAAGGACATTACTTCAGTTTCCTCAATGGTTTCTTAGTAAGATTCCTCTCCAGCTGATCTCTAAAATGTACCAGCTTTCTGTTACCATCCAGTCTGGTGTGGTCAGCTATGTTTAACAAGCAATTTTCCTAACCTGAACCAATAACAAGAAGATCCTTTGTGGTCCCTTATTTCCCCCTGACACGTGTTTCAGACACTTTACAGAAAATAAAACACAGACATGCACACACAGTGGTTGAGTGATTTCCTGTCCATGTTTGAATTATGTGGAGATGTTTGACTGATGCGTTAGTGTGATTGTTTTTGTGTGTGGTGTGTGTGTGTGTGTTACGTGTGTGAAGGAGATTGAAAGCAATGTGAACAAAGGGATTATTGATCTTTGCCATGTAGAGGGTGAGCAAGGGATCTAAATCACTGGTATAGGATGCCAAGAAAGATAAAAAGAAATTGTTCTCACACCAAAAGTAAAAAAATCCAAAAACCTGTGTGGAGAAGAGGAGGTCAAACTTTCATTCATAAGTCACTGATATGGCACTGTTGGCTTATATTCTTTCAAAATAATTTGCATCTGTCTCTGGATGAGAGAAATAATACACTCCACAGTCTGCTGAATATTTATAACTTGAACACCTCCATTTGATTCCATATAAAATGAGGCCTGGTCAGTAAGTTTCTTCATAAGTGACTGTCTTTGGTCGTCCTTTATCTCAGAAATGTGATTTCATTTTGAATTCTGAGCCACAAACTGTGTGTGTGTGGCATGAGTCATACAGATTGGGTGACATCATATATGTCACTCTCTGAGAGCATGTGTTGGTGTGTGTGGGGTGGTGTGGATCAGACATGAATATATGAATCATTGTATCGCTCAGTATACTGTCCCCAGGGAGTGAACTCTGACACCAGACTGCATGGATTGTCCCCTCAGAACCACCACAGTGGCTCAGCGTCTTTGTATTCATTTTTCCACTTGGCCTTTTTTTCCAACCTTTTCCACCATTTTGACCTTTAACTGTTAAAAAAATCCAAACATTTATTTATTATCGATTTATATAATTGACTATCTTAAACAGCAGTTGTTTCTCCATTAGCGCTATGTCTCTTTGTCGTCATTCTCTCCATGTATTATAAATGAATTAATATTGTGCGTCCAGACATGCAAATGTCCTTGAGACTTTCTCATTAGGAAGGCTAATGGTCAGCAGTGCTGTTGATAATCAATACGGAAGTAAAGAGATTTTGAAAGATGGTGGCGTGTAAGCACAGAGTAAGTAGACAAAATAACAGAAACACTTAACAACACTCAGCCTACAGTAGCTAACAATATATAGAGTGGCCTTTGAAGAAATAGTTCAGCATTTTCGGAAATACACTAATTTGCTTTCTGGCGGAGAGTTAGATCAGAAGACTGATACCACTCTCTTGTTGACGCTACAGCAGCCAGTTAGCTTAGCTAAGCACGAAGACAGGCGTGGTCACTTCCTGGAGTCTTGTCATCCCAACAGGCAACCAGTGGAAACTCCAGAAAGTGACAGAAAGCCTGTGCCAGGTAGGTGGATTTTGTCTTCTGTTTCCCCCTGTTTCCAGTCTATATGCTAGGTTAAGCTAACAAGCTGCTCTTTGGAAGCATAGCTCTATATTTACTACAAAAACTTGAGAGTGGTATCAATCTTCTCATCTAACTCTGGGCAGGAAAGCAAATAAGCGTATTTCCCAAAATGTCAAACTTCTACATCTTCAGTCCTCCTTGTGATTTTGAGAGCTTACAAGCATAATTTAAGTTTATCGAACATATCTCCTGTTCTCTGACATCCAGTTGAGGTATTCCATCAGTGGGATATCAATGATTGGACTACTGGAGAACCTCTCAAAAAAGTGATATGGGCAACACAAGGTGTTTTGGTTTAATTTTGTGTGTCTTGATGTGTTGATGAGTGTTGGACTAATGTTGAAACATTACTGGTTTGGACAAGAGTGTTTCCCCTCTGCCGGCAGAAGTTTAATGTTGAGTAATTCAAAGTAAATTACATCGCATTGACTGCTCTATGTTGCATCCAGAGTGTTTGTGTTTGTTTATACATGTTTGTGTGTCATTGCAAACCATATAAACCATAATTTAGAGGAATGAAAACGAGGTTTTAATAAAGCTGCTGCAGTTATTGTAATAACATCCACGTCTTGTGCTGCCAGAAGAGTGACAGGCATGCAGAAATATTTTACTATAAGAATGAAGAATATATAGGCATTAAATGTTTGATTATTTAAAATATATAATAAAGGGGCATCTTTTGATGCCGTTTGATGGGGTTTATTTATATACTGTTAATACATTTTCAAAGGTTTTTATACATTTTACTCCAGAAATTGCATTACATTAGACTGTCTCTCCAAGACCGTTAAAAAAAGCCAAAACAGAGCTTGTTAAGGACCAAATTAAGCCTCCAGGCCTTGTTTTAGTTTGTCTCATTTTACCACTTCACCATTACAAAGCAAGGTTGATGATCAATCAGGACATTTCACACTGCACTTCTTTGACTCCGTGTGTACTCTCAGACAGCCATAAACAGATGTGTCTGCAGTCTGGTCACAGAAGAGGGGCAACTGAAAGAGAAAGAGGTTAATAAATGAAAAGACAGATTTATGGAGGCTCCGGTCATAAAACTGATTGGCTGTGACATTGTGAGTGATGCCTACTAGCACATGCAACATATGACATGCACAAATATGCATACACACACCAGTTATTAGATACATGTGTTAAATTATATATGTTTGTAGTTAACTATATGTTATTGTTTTTATATGTACATAGAGATGAAGACTCTGAGCTCTTCGGTAATCTGTCTGTGTTTTTACTCAGAGAACAGGAGGACCTATTGATGATCTGTCCACAACACAGACTTCTGATTTACACACACACACACACACACACACACACAGAAACACACACATTCAGTGTGACAGTAAGAGGAAAGGAGGCATCAAGGAGAAAGAGCGAGACAGTGGTAGATGAGAAAGCAGAGTTCTGCTCTTGACTTGCAGGGAACAAAATCTATCCCACAATTCACCACTGAGGGTCACTCAGTCCTGGTGTTGTCATGGTAATGAGACTTTAACAGCCCAGGCTTTCTAATGTCAATTTCAGTGTGTGTTTCAGTGCATGTGTGTGTTCTTGTACACAAGTGCGTGTTAGATGAGTCGTCTGTTGGGTCGATGGCTTTTTAGTAATTATGGACAGCAGCAACCCCCTATGTCTTTCCACTCTAGGGATTTTTCCTTGCAAATTTGTGTCTGTTGTATTTTGTATATTGACTTCTTTGCAGATCAAAAATATGTTCAGAACATTTGTTTCATACATCCCGAAGGTACCAGCCAGCTGGGAGGGGTTAAGTGCAGAAAATATGAAATGTAATGTAATGTAAAATCAATAAAGTGTACATTTACAGCATTACTTCACACTAAGGCTACAACTAACCATTATTTTCATTTTTGATTTCATTGATAAGGATGACTTCTGATGAATGCTATTTTCTGATGACGTCAGAAAATAGTTAAAATGTCCGTCACAAGTTCCTAGACTTCTAGGAAACCTCTTCATATGTCTTGATTTGTTCAAATAACAGTAAAAACAAACAAAAGATATTCACTTTACTAGGAAATAAAACTGGGGAAAGCAGCAAATCCTCATGCTACATTTGAGAAGCCTTTCACCTTTACTTGACACTACCTGGAACTCTGCATTATGGGAACATAGCAACTATCATGAATGGTATATACAGTAAATGCACTGTCTATTCAAAATGTTTCAGTGCAGGCAGAATATGAATCTCCACTTTTCTCACAAAGTGGCAAATGATGTCAGTGTCTTTCAGAGCGAGGCTTCATTAAATTTTAAAAGAAACACTGCTGAAAAAACAATAGAGATAATTTGAGAGTCCACTGTGATTTGGTAGCATTGCTGCAGGCACCTAATCACTCTGACAATGCTGTAACCTCTCTTAGTCTCTATGTCAACAAACAGCTTCTGGTAACTGAATGCATCATTAAAATAACATATGCAATTGTTTTTAGTGTAGGTAACTGACTTGGATCATTGTTGAAGTGGTGATACTTTCAAGTTTTCACCCTCTGCCAATAAAACACTAATCTTATGAGGATTGGTCTTTATATATTTTAATAAAATAGTTTCATGCCATTTCTAATGTGTATGTTAAGTGCTGTATGACCCTAAATTAGTTCGTTGATTGTGTCACTGACAATGTTGACTTCATTATTTGGAGATCTTGTGGTGGGTTTGGAGATGATGGATAGTATTGATCCGCTCCTTATATAAGCAATAATAACAAAAATGATCACAAAATCCCCACCAAATCATCATCATGACCATCACCATTATTGTTATTGTCTTCATAATTATTATCATACAGTAATCAGCAGCAGTCACCAAATGAAATATATGCTATTCTGGAGTTTGGAGCATTGGCTACTATTTATACACCTCTTATACAAGTCAAGATAATATTCCTCACTGCAAGCGCAAGTGATGAAATAAAGTGGTCTGAGCTGCTGAAGTCTCAGGTTCACCATTCAAGATGTCTCTCAAGGCCAATCCATATTCAAGATTATAAAGATCAGGTCTCATTTCCAGAGTGTTTGTGCATTTGTGTCTGTACCCCTACAGACACACACACACACACACACACACACACACACACACACACACACACACACACACACACACACACACTTCTAACATAAAGGACGGCGCCGGTTTTGGGGCTAGCTTTTGATCTGTCTTCCTGATGAAGATGGAGGGCACAGCTAAATAATACTTCCACACATGCATACAGGAGGCCCCCTCTATACCTCCAGGGCTCCAGAGGGAACAGAGCTTGACAATACTTTACCCCAGAGAGGCCTCAGCCTGCTGGGCTTGATAGCTGCACCTGGCCTCCGCAGCTTGGTCTTCTGAGGAGGAGAATAAAAATACACACGGTCAACATCGCATAAACCATCTGTCTATCCATTTCCACCTCATTCATACAAACTGGTGTCTTTGGGTACGTTATGTGTTATTCTGCTTGATTTTGGGGTCCCCCCCGACTTGCCTGTTCTGGTCCTGTATGCATATATGTTTTGTGAGATATAATTTTTCACCCTACAGGGGCTCTGACTAACCCTGTAACCAAGCCTTCTCCACCTCAACAATGGGTAGCATTTTTAGGAAAGATCATACAGAAATATTAACTCTCCCCCCCTCACTCTCTCTGTCTTTGAGTGAGTTTTGATACACGTTAGATTGAACACTGCTGACAGCTCTTGCCTCTTGGCTAGACATCCTTTCATTCAGATAGGGGGATTTCTTTCTGTGTTGACATATTCATATCCAGTCGGCAGTGATAACCGTAAGTCATTAACAGGGTTCTTACAGTAATGCAAGTCTGCAGTTGTTACAGTTTTTTTCAATTGCTAACCTGCATTGGTCAAAACTGAAGTCACATTGTCAAAACTCTTCACACAGTCAGTGCAACAGAAGTGTATATGGACCAAACTGTGAATCATTTTTCATTGCTTTCACACAAAATGCATTCAATGACCCCTTTCTCCAAAATTCATGAACTCTTTTCTCATTACTACTTCACCACCTGCAAAACACTGTATATCTGCAGCACATTTTTCAAATGCTAACACATTCAAAACAGATTGATGGTAAATGTACTGCATTTCTGCAGTGACCAGATTGAAATAAGTGGAAAATCTTAGAACACAACACAAACACAGCTGATAACAATTTCAGTTGAAAGCCTACCCAGGTGTCCTGTGTTTAGTCTTGTTACCACAGACAAAACGGGACAGCTTTAGTTGGCAGTAGGGGAAGGATTCGTGGAAGACAAAGGAGAGGAAAACCAAGAGCGGTGGTCTCTGATGAGATAAGGGCCACAATTATTGACCATGTTGTAAACCATGGTCTCTCTTTGAAAGAGGCTGGTTTAAGGGTGCAACCAAATCTGCAGCGTTCAAAAGTTGCATCAATAGTACGGATTTTCCGGCAACACAACATGCATCTTTCCATGAAAACTGAACTACATATTACGGTACAAATCAGTATGTTTACATTTTTACATATACATTTTACAGTAAAATGTATTGATTTTTTTTGTCTTTTACTGTTGGATACAAAGGTTGCCTCCCACAGGAGGGATGGTTTGCTGTTACACAAACCACTCATTGTCCCCTACAATAGAGAGAGGCTCATGTCTTTCCTGGATGACCTGCATAATCGCCTTGCGCCAGCGGAGGAGAGAGGAGCAAGAAACTCCCCTATCTTTGTTGTTGTGTGGGATAATGTGGCATTTCACCACTCTGCTGCAGTTACAGACTGGTTTGCTGCACATTCCAGGATGTCAGTACTGTTCCTGCCTCCATACACCCCCTTCCTAAACCCCATAGAGGAGTTTTTCTCTACATGGAGGTGGAAGATGTATGACCACCATCCACATGACCAGATGACCTTACTGGATGCCATGAATGCGGGACGTGGAGACACTTCTCCTGAAGACTGCCAGAGTTGGATTAGACATTCCAGAAGATACTTTCCAAGATTCATCGCCAGGACATAAGATGTGATGTTTATGAGAACTTGTGGCACAAATGCAGCAGAGAGGGAGGACTAGCACCCTCAGGTACTGTACATTATGAGTTTTTGAGGTGTTTCTTATTTGTATTACTGTTTGCAGCCCTGGAATTCCAGAAATTTGTGGGGGGGGGGTTTGTTTGAACTTACAGTAAATTTTTTCAGTTTACAATACTATCTACAGATATAGAACAAATAAAGGATATTGAAGCAAATTGCTGCATTTCTGATGCATTCTTGTTACATATACTTTAGTACCGTCAATTCACTCATGCTTCAATGATAAAAGTTCTTTTATGTAATGCTCCCTGTTTTTAGTGTTTTGCAGGCCAGTGTGTTGAGTGAGACTGAATGCTTTCTAAATGAGAATTGTTGCCAGTGTTTTGGTTGAACGAGTCTATTTTGAGACTTTTGAGAGTTTTGAAAAAGTGGCTTCAGTTGTGACCATTGCATCTTAGCAATAAAAAAAAAACTGTAATAATTTGTTAAAGTTTGGTCCAGATGTTCTGTGCTTTTTGCAGACGATCAGGTAAACAATCCTTTAGAGGAGTCTGCCTGATGAATTAAAGAGCTAAAATGACACTTCATGCGCCAATAAATGGCACAAAAGGCAATAGCAAATTATTATTAATCCATTAGTAACAACTTTTAAGAAGACAGCATATGACACAGAGGACTGGCTGAAGAGCCCTTGAGCAAGGCATTGAAGCCCTCCTGGCAAAAGCAGCTCTGTTTTTCTGGAATTTGTCAAGTGGAGAGAGATCTTGCTTTCCTTATCATTCTTTTACATGAATCATCCTTCCCTCCTTTTTGTCTGGGACCACTGCTGTGTGAAATCCAACATGCTGCATGGTGCTGCTGTAACACCTGCAATTGGGTGAAGTGGGATAGAGGCTCATCTGTTCTAGTAGCTAGTTGCCAACCAAAGCAACTTCTTTCCCCTCCCACTGTTGGTCTAGACAACACTAAACCGGGTCCTTTTTCTGATGGAGTAGAGAAAATCCAGATGTTGGCCCAGTGTTGACCACAGCAACAAAACTGCAAACCTATAACACCCTCTGTGTGTGTGTGTGTGTGTGTGTGTGCGCGCGCGAGAGAGAAATGTGTGTTTTGTATTGGAGCTGGCCGTGTCTGCACCGCCCCGTCGGTGTGTGCAGTGGGCAGCGTCAAGCTCATTCTGCCCCCGGACTGGTCCTCTCCCTGAACCCCATTCATAGCCTCATACACATATAGCCTTCACGCACACACACGTATGCCTACATGTAGGCTACACACGGGAACGAGGCAACCGGGGCACTTAAATTAGCGCTACTCCGACGGATCCCTGGCGTGGACATTTTTAATATTTCATCACAACCTCCTTGGATTTTTCTCCATGTGCCTTTTTGCGCATAGAGCGCGGACGCTGCTGAGGTGTGTTTGAGCATTTGAGCCATTTTGGAGATGAATATAAACGCTCCGTGAATGGGAAACACCGACACACGGGCAACGCTACCTTTCCCCGAACCTGACATACACCGTCGCCCTTCCATTGGAAAGATTTGCGCACCCGAGACCGAAGCCGGTGTCTGCGCTCTGCGGGGCCGGGCGCGCGTCGTCTGGGAGGAGTAGGGACGATGGAGGCGTTTTTCACAGAGGTAAGCTATGGAGAATATGTGTCAATATTGCCGAGCTAAACAATAATGACATATTAAGCATTCAAGGTATGACAGAGCCTACATTTGCACCGTTGCATGACCAATAGTGCAAGATGCTTTTACGGTTTTTGTTTTTTTTATTCACATCGGGCTTGGTTGCGGCAGGTGTTGCTTTGCTTTCGTCGACAGTAAACGTTCCTCACCGTTCCCTACAAAACCCACAAGCAATAGGCCTGTACCTTTAACTGCATGTCTAGGCTATATCGATTCAACATAATCTAAACACTCCGTTTATTTTTTTTATCCCTGCAGAACATCAGGGCCAGGATGCCGGCTTGGTGAATTAATTCAGAGCAGAGCCGCAGACAAATTGGCCAAACGAGAGCTGACACGGGCTTTTGCATCCATAAGGCTGGCTCTCGGATTAAAGCCAATCTGTTAACGGAGGGTAGACCGTGTTGGACTATAGCAACAGCCCTCCCACACCATGCTGCTGTTAAGAGATCCTTTCTGTGCTTTTTAGTGCGCTGTGAATGGGATTGAACAGGGACCCATGGGTGGGTATGGGTCGGTACGCGGCTGCAGGAATTGAGGAGGGGGTGGTAGAGGAGGAGGGGTGGCTATCTGGAAAGTGGAAGAGAGGTGGAGAATGATGAGGGATATTTGTGTGTGTGTGTGTGTGTGTGTGTGTGTGGAATATAGCTGAAACAGGAGGAAGACAAATTAGGTGAATCTGTGGTTATTAATTCTGCCTAATGCTCATTCCGCCACTGCCTGCTGGGTAAAATCTCATCTTTCACCTCCAGCATCCTGGGATTTATTTGACAATCCATTCTAATGCTCCTGAAACCAAGCCTGATGGTTAGCTCATTTAGATAGGCCTACGCATTGATGTCAGAGCTTTACCATTAATTGACCACTCTTATTTCCATTCCTTATTCCCTCCAATTATTAATATTTTCATTGTGGACTTTCACCCCCCACAACCTCTTCTTCACCCCTACGTTTCATTTGTGTTTTGGTCTACCTGCTCCATTCACAGGCATGCACACACACCCTCATGAAACATGGTCTTGTCCGCTGACTTTGATGCCAATATCCGTCCTCTCCAAGCTACTTATCCTCCCCCCTCTTAAGTTAATCTGATATGGGTTTAAATGCCTCTCACATTGGCAGTGATGTCATGCCATTTATTAGTGTGTGAGTGGTTGTGTGGGTATATGTGTGGGTACCAGGGCCATGGTGAGCACTGGTGTCCAACAGAATACAGAGGTGTGATCCATCGGATGCTAATAATAATAATAATGATGTATCAAAGTAACAATAAATGACTGCATGACATGATCATGACAACTGTTCCGATGATCATACAGCAACCATCTCCTCCGCTCCATTTCCCATCAGTCTGTTGGTAATATATTGATCATAGCATCGATTAACAGACCACCACATCACCAACCCTGCAGCCTCACACAGCACAGACTCTAAAAAGCCTACATGAACCCTGAAAATAGAGTGACTTATTGAGTTATGATTTTCTGGCCTGCAGTTCTGCACAAGCTTCATATCTGATACCCAGAAGCATGACTTCATGGAGGTAGGGCGCTGAGTAATCAATCCTCTCAGGAGGTGTCTGCCCAAGATCAAATTAGTTTCATTCCTTTATCTTCATTGCTCCATCCCACAGTGTTCTGCATTCTTCCTCTTTCTATCCTCTCTATCCCTTAAACCAGAAATAGTGAACAGCTGACCTCTCCCTCTGTCAACCCAGGCAGAAAACATTCTGGCTGGCTGACCAGCCAAAAATGAAATGTCAGGTGGCAGTAGACTACAGTGTAATCCCCTCATATTTCAAACTACACTGGTTAGTAATGGTAGTTGTAGTGACATTATGTGCCCTAAATAAAAGAAAAATCAATACTTTTTTCTGGTTGGGGCAGCTAAAAAACAACATGCATGTAGTAGTGATAACAAGAAACCTTAAGGGACATTAAACTATTGCAAAGAAATTGTGATTAAATGTGATTCTGGCATAAATTTTGATTATGCTAATCTAGCTGATGTTATTGCTCATATATATCAAAACATAATACTTAGCACAAACGTGTTTTTAATTTGAAGTATGTTGTACTATTTTTGTAAAATGTTATTTAAAATCTCTCACCATATTAACAAGATAACATTAGCTTTGTCAGTTGGTCCAGTTAGCTACTTAGCAGTCACACCTGGCAGTTACTGGGTTTCAATATTTAGTAACAGCTAATATCTATAAAAACCTGTTTGTGTGACATGTTTTAATTTAGAAATTCATAAATCTCCACTCAAACATTTACGTTGCAACTAAGCTAACAGCTAGTGTCTTGGTGCCAAAACATCAGCTCTTTTGATTTAGAATCAAATAGGCCATTACTCAAACTCAGTATTGCATTGTAATGACTTAAAGTAGGCTACTTTAGAATAGAATAGACAATAGAGCAAGTGTGAAGTCCTTAAAGTGCTCAGAGAAAGTATACATTTATTTCCACTTCCTTTTCTTTTGTCCTCATACCATAAGGTGGACCTCTTTTGAATCTGGAGTGCATTTATCACACAAGAAGCTACTTTTATACTGCAAATCTCTGTCCTCCCAGCAGTACAATGTAATGTATGTCTCATTAATGAGTACCTTGTCCTCTTGACACCTACATGTCTGTATGCGTCTGAGCAAGCTGGATTACATTTGATCTCAGGGGTGACATTTTGTGTGTATGTGATAGGTCTGGACTGGATTACAGGTGCAAAGGCACGATAACCAGGAGACAGACAGGTGTGAATGGGGGGAAAAACATCTCTGACACATTATCTCAAGCTGGCTGTACTTGTTGTTGCTGTATCATATCTGTCTGTTTATAGACTCACTTTCTGACCTGTCTTTGTCCAGTCAACAGTTCTCGCCTCTTGTTCTGTCTTTCTCTTCTTAGTCATTTTTTCCTCAGTGTGTATAACTGAACAGTCTGTAAATAATGTGAAACGTTCAAGGAAACCAACTAAGCTTCCAATTTTTGAACTTGAACTTTGGAAAGTGTCTTCTAATTACACCACATCTTTTGTGCAATGCATTTTGACATAAAAAGCTTAGGCGTAATTTTAGCAGAGCCTGTGTCCATAGATTGCGGTCTAATTATGCAGGATTTTGTATAAAGTGCATACTGCAGGAAGTTGGCTCAGTGGAGGGAAGGGAACAGTCACTGGAGATGTGTGACCTATATTCAGCAGCTCCAAACACATTTGTTCTGCTCAGGAGCTGCATCAGCTTTGCTTCTCTCTCCCTCTCTCTCCTCTCTTCCCTTCCCTCTGATGCTGTCTCTCCCCCTGCGGCCACTCGCTTGGTGCTTCTCCATCTCAGTCAACCAACCACTTTTGGTGCTCCTCT